CAACATCATCTCAAGAGTCTGGAGAGCTACCGCCAATGATGCCTCCAGAAAATCCTCCACATCTCATGGGAAGATCAGCGCACACATGCCAGCATCCTTGCTAAAGCCAATGTGACCAGCATTGAGTCGGTGATCCTCAAGCACCAACATCGCTGGACCGGACATTGTGTGTGGATGCCCGACTCTCAAATCCCCAAACAAGTGCTCTGCTCCCAGCTTAGTTGTGGCCTGAGATCTCGCGCTGGGCAGAGGAAGCGCTACAAGGACACATCGAAGACAGATCTCAAGACAAAGGATGTTGGCGTTGGCAGAGCTAACTCCAATGGCACCGCAACCTCAACCGAGCAGCCCGTTTCAAGCTACAGCATCTTGCCCTCAAAGCAGAGAAGAGGGAGTGGAGGAAGGACAAGGAGAGGAGTCCCAGCCTGCAGCCCGCTCTCCCCTGCGGATGCTGCAGACCTATTTGTGGGTCAAAGATTGGACTCTTAAGTCACTTCAAGACCCATCACTGAGCATCCTTGAACAGAGGGATTGCCAGCAACGACTAAATGCAGGTGACTCAGTAGGACTTCCAGCTGTGCTGGGCCATAGCTATGGTGCCAAAAAGCAGTATGGGAGGAAGAAATAAAATAAAATAAAATAAAATAAAAATGCACTCATGAGCACAAAGACACTGAAGGGAGGATGAAACCACTTGCTTAAAAACTCAAGGACCAGCGTAAAAAGCAAGTTACAAATGAGACAGAACTACTAAGAGCAAGTGTATAAACTTGGCAAGCAAAATGAGCTGAGATGAACATCTCCACTAAGAAAGGAGACGGGGGGCACACTAGCATAAATACAGGGGTGCAGAGACCTGTGGGATCGTGCAGGGTCTCGGCTTGTCGAGGACAAGCAGCACTAGGTCGCACCGAGTTTTTATCCAACCGGTTGGTGCACAGCGAACCTTACTGAGCATGGGCCCGAGTTGTGCTTTCTACGACGCCTTTGGAGCCTGGAAAGTCCCAGGCGTGCAGTGCACGCCGACTCCGGCAGCCTGGATAGCAACTCGAAACCGCCAAAGAAAACATGCCGCTGAACAAGATCACAGGACAGGCCCAGGACCCCCGCGCCCGTGTCATGCAGGTCACGCGCCCGTGTACTCACTGCCCACTTTGAGGAAGGTCTGGTACTTGAGATGCCAGGAGGAGCCTTCGTAGCAGGAGTACTGGCCGCTGTGCCCCAGGTGCACGTTGCGCAGCACCAGGTAGGAGCCGTTCAAGTGCGACTCGTCGATGTCGCTGCCGTTGACCGTCCAGGTCACGGCCGCGTCCCAGTCCATCGCCCCGCACTTCATGGTCACGTCTGCGCCGATCCGCTCGTACTGCACCTGGGTGTCTGCGGGAGGCAGAAGGAGAAGACCTGGCTGAGACCTGGGCCCAAAGCAGGGGAGCAAAGGGGAGACCCCAGAGCGGGACATGCCCTGAGCACAGCCCCGGGAGCCAGGAGCACGTGCGCTCTGACACGGTCGTTATGGGGGAGTCCAGGAGAGGATGCGGGGCTTTATTTGCACCCTGCTTTGATTCCCAGTCCCCCCAAAGTTTAGAGCCAACTGCTTGGCTGGGGCAGCAGCATTTCTAGTCACACCGTGCTGAGGAGGTCGACTGGCTCGTTATCTAGCATTATGGGACTCTGTAATGATCTGGCAAAATTAGAGGACTGTTTTGATGAATAGTATTTGAAGCCCAACCCTGACAAAACAGTTCATGCCTTTTTTCATCTCTCTAATAATGCCCAGCGAACGCTGAGTAAGAATCAGCCTTTGTGCAAAACCTGTCAACTATGAACCCAACCCCAAATATTGAGTCCACCTCAACCATAGTCTCCCCTATCGGCATCATCTACAAATAATGAAGAATAAACTTCCTCCTCCGGATCTTTGATGTAAACAGGCTACTTTAAGAGTCTACAAAAAACTGCTCACATTTAATTCACTACTGATTTTTGAGGAACAGAATGACCCCCCACCAGCTAGGCCAAGCATTAAAGTTGAGAAGGTTATTTTGGAGTGCGGAAAAAAAGCTGAATGAGGAAAATGTTGGCATCAAGAAAAACTGGATCCAGCAATGAGGCACAACTGACATCATTCATACATTTTTTATCACAGACCCCACATCTAAACCCTCCTGGCTTTGCTTTGCCAAGGTGAAGCTGGGCCACGTTGAACACGGTTCATAGAATCAGATAATCACAGACAAGGAGGGTGGCAGGGAGCTCAGGGGTCACATCCAGTCCAACCCCCTGCTCCAAGCAGGACCAGCCCCAACTACATCATCCCAGCCAAGGCTTTGTCAAGCCGGGGCTTAAACACCTCCAAGGATGGAGACTTAGTACATCAGTGGCATTTTATTAAAGACCCCAAATGTGAGTGTGGCAAAATCCAAGCTATAGCACACATCGTGGAGGAGGGTCCTATTTATTATTTTAATGCTCGCACTGACAACCTGCGCCAGACCACTGACAATGCTTTGCAATGGGTGTCAAATTTAAAACTGTCACTCCCCTTAGTGTGGTTGTTTATAGCTCGTTCTGTCATGCGGGTGCTGTATTTCATACGAATAAATAAAGGAATCGACTTGATCCCTTCTTAACTCATCACTCCACTGGTGTTAGTGACTCTCTCTCCTTTTTAATGACCTGGCTGCTTCAGGGGTCCCCAAGCAATTCCCCAATTCATTCTAGTCCCAACATCCTCCTGCAGTACCCTGGGTCAGGGGTCCCCAAGCAATTCCCCAATTCATTCTAGTCCCAACATCCTCCTGCAGTACCCTGGGTAAGGTATGCCATGACTCGGGGCCTCAGTTTTCCCCATCTGTAAGAATGGGACAGTGCTCCCCCAGCTCCAGGCTGGTTGGTGGTGAGAGGAAACCAGCTCCTTTGGTGTGGCATGTGCTGCAGCAGGGACAGCACGTCACATCTTCCCTCTGCACTTCGCAGAGAAGGGGGCAGCACATTTATACCCGAGGGAGAAACAAAGCGTGGAGAGCTCAAGTGTCCCAGGTCACACAAGCAGCCTTTGGCAGAAATGAGAAGCCAGCCTGCTGCAACCTGCTGCCTCCGGGCGCCCCAGGTCCTGGGCCCCTGGCTCAGGGTGGTATCAAGAGCGAAGCATTGTGTCTGTATGACCTGGGCCCTCGCTCCCAGCAACAGCTTCAACCGGTTGCGGTACCTGGCACAGCTCTGCTAGGGCAGCCAGTGCCCCCGGGTGCCCTCTGTGCCAGTAACAGGGACCAGGGCTTTGACAGTGTCTTTTGCACCGTGCAAGTGGAGGTGCCTAGTGCACGGGGCTCCTAGCTAGATGAGGAAGCCTCTAGTCTGTGCAAGAGGCAACGTCTCTGGCAGCAATGGAGAAGACACAGGGGCATGTCACACCCCTCAGCCTGGGTGAAAGACTAAGCAGAGGGTTTGAGGACTAGGACGGGGGTAAAACACTGGAGCAGGCTATGGAAAGAGGCGGTGGACTCTCCATCCTTGGAGGTTTTGAAGCCCTGGGCTGGGACTTCAAAGCCTTGGCTGGGATGATGCAGTTGGGGCTGGTGCTGCTTGGAGCAGGGGGTTGGACTGGATGTGACCCCCTCAGCTCCCCCTGAACCCCCATTGTCTGTGGTTCTGTGACTCTGGGGGGCTTTTATTTTATCTGGAGACACACAAGAGAGACCAAAGCAACTTCCTCCAAACCAGACGCCACTTTATTGGGATATTATTATCCATCAGGCAACATGACCCAGAGCAGCTGCATACAGCAGAGTATACACAGACAGTTGGGGCTGGTCCCACTTTTTGAGACATAAAAAAAAAAAAAATTCTCCTTGAGAGCCTCTGCTAAGGTCCATGTGTAGGTCAGGTGGATCAGTAACATTAACCCCACTTTAAAGATGGGGAAACTGAGGCCCGAAGCAGAGAAGTAGCAATGGGCTGGAGAACGGGGCCCAGATCCGATACACACACACGACCCCGCCCTCTGCCTCTCCAGGATTGACGGGCCCTGCTTCAAGTCATCATGGCAGTGGCTAATTAGATCTCTGTGCCTCTCGTCATAAATAATGCATTTCATATTTACCCAGTGCACGGGGGTGGGGGTGCAGGGCGCTCTGCAAGCAGAGACAATGACAAGGGCTCGGCCCCCCGGTGACTCGCCATCTAAATTAGATCGATAGCGCGGCACCAGAATAGCAACCGGTGCAGGGGAGCTGCCAACATAGCTCGGCTGGTTCCTCCGGCAGTGTCGGCTCCACAGCCCTGGCCTGAAGCCCCCCTTGGCTACCCCGGCCAGGGGGCCCAGACACGTCCCCCCTTGCAGCTCTGCCCATGTCCTGGCCCTTAGCTGGCTGGCACCTCCAAAGACCCCGTCTCCGCCCCTTGCTTTTCTCCAGACAAACCACCGTGCCAAATTGCACGTCATTGCAACAGCACAGACGAAATACCCACGGACGACCGGGCTGGGACTCTCGACTTCGCGTCAGCTGGGCCTGAAGTGGAGCAGACAGCTTATTTATTACTATTGCTCCAAACCCTCCCTCCCGTGGTACTACGTCCCCACGCAATGCCACTTGCCAACAGAAACCTTCCCTCCAAGGAGGAATTCCAGGCAAGCCGAGCCAGTTCCTTGAAGACTGATTTAAAACTAAATATATCTCAGTAAGGAAACAGGCGTAATTAAATGTCCTCGATGAAGCCAAAGATAGGGGCCGTTCCAAGTTTAATTTGTTCACTAATGAAGAATTGCGGCGAGCCGGGTCTGGGTTTGTTTGCTCGATTTGGGTAAATCCCCCGAGTCAGCAGCTTTGCTCTCCTGACAAGGAAAAATAATTAGCAAGAAACTTTAATTAAGAGATAACAGATGGGTGCTAAAGGACTTCCACTTCATCACTGCGAGAGATTGGAACCACAGCGGGGTTGACTTCGGGCAAGGAGGTGATGACGCACTCTTATGGGCTCACGACAGTTGTGCATATGTGCACACGTGCGTGAGCGTGGGGATCTGTGTCCCCATGGGACCCCCTGACACCTTCCCACAAGGTGTCTGCTATCTGCTTGGGCCCCCAGCCCGGCACCTCCTACGGCGGATCCAGAGCAGAGCCCTTCGCTTGCAGCAGTTCATGGCAATCCTTCCCTTCACCCGCACCGAAGCCAACACCAGGCAAGGAGGATCTGCTGCCTCGGGGGAGCTGAGACCACTCGCTCAGCCTCCTGCCCAGCTGCCCTGACCGTCGAGGAGAGCTGTTCAGTACATTCATAACCGATCCGCACAAGGAGGGGAGTAGCAAGGCGGCTGGACTGGCAGATGACACAAAACGCTGCGAAGTGGGAAAGAGCAAAGTGGA